GGCATGCCTGGTATTGCCATTCATTTCACTGTCGAGAGAGAGAGAAAAACGAGGGAGAGAACAAAAAAGTGGCTAACAGTCCCCGAGCAGCCGTGAAAGAATAAAAATAAATATTGGCGCCACATGTCAGGGTATTGTAGGTTTTGCACGGATGACTTTTATCAGCTCGGAGGACTAAATTTAAGACAGTACATTTGTGGCACAATATCAGCGGTGATTAAGTTTACCCAAGGTACATTGTGCCGGGTACAGAAAAGACGCAGGAATCCTCACTAGAACGATTAAGCCTGTGGTGAATCAGTGTGTTTTAATGCCATTGTGTGCTGAGGAAAAGCGAAGTGCACGCATCCTATCCGTTAAACAATAGCCCGCCATCCACAATGAAAGAGTGATCTCTCTATGGATGTGAATCACTCTCCACGTTATGGGCCGGGCACCTAACGACAGAGCCAGGGGAGGACAAGCACGCACACGGGCCTCATACCAGCTCATATTGTCAATGCAAACACTGGGAAGTTTGCATCTGTTTCCCCCCCACCCGCTAAACATGACTCCCACCCTTAGCATGACAAACCAGCCAGACGAAAGGGATGCTGCTGGCACGCACCTTCAAACACACGATGATGCATCCGCCAAGCATTTTAGCTAGCTAGCTTCTGTACAACATTGCTTTCATTAGCAAGCAATCTGGGAGGATAAAATTGCGATTTTGATTGCGTTTTACAGGCGACTTCATTCATTAACCCTATAAAGCCTACTGTATCATATTTAGTACACAAATTTCTAAGGCTTCTAAATGATCAACATAGTTAATTCATAATTTAGCTTCTATTCAACATTGTTTTTATTAGTCAGCTAACTGTGAGGCTACAATAGCCATTTTGAAGTCGTTCTACAAGCCTTTTTGTTTATTAACCCTATAAAGTGTACTGTATCATTTTTGATATACAAATTTCTATGGTGTCTAAATTTTCAACATAATTAAATTAGCTTCTGCACAACATTGTTTTTATTGTCTAGCTATCTGCTAGACAATAAATCTACAATAGCAGTTTTGGCATAGATTACAAGCCATTTTGTTCATTAACCCTAAAGCCTGATGTATATTATATTTGATACAAAAATGTCTAAGGTCTCTAAATTATCAACATAATTAAATTAGCTTCTGTATGACATTGTTTTTATTAGCTAGCAATATGGGAGACTACAAAAGCAATTTTGACAATTTTACAAGCCATTTTTTCATTAACCCTATAAATCCTACAGTATCAGTTATTATCCACAAATTTCTAGGGTCTCTAAATTATCAAAACTACAAATAAAAGTAAAAGGCCTTTTAGTATAATTGTTAAAACATATTCCTTCAGGTCATGATTCATGTGTCTTTTTTCTGTGAAATCTTCACTGATTTTTATCAAGTAAACATAAGAATATTTTTTATTGTTTGTAATATTTTAAAATTAACACTTGTAATGCACTTGTTAATAACACTTGTTAATGGATTGAAGCAGCTTAGGTTTACATGATTATCCATACATCATTTTTTTATTTATACATTTATTTGTTCATCTCTCATTCACCGATGTATCACAGTGCTTTATATGTTTAAGCCCCATATAAAAAAAACCATATAAAAAACACAGAGATTTGATCATTATACAAAGCATTTAAATATCATCTTACTAAGACATATTATTGGTAGATAATATACAGAATGATACTGATATTTAATGTAAGTAGTCTGAAATACTGTTATAAAAATCTACATTACAAGCTACTAAAATTTCATCTTATATTTTGGCATATAAATATCAGCCTTTAATATTTTTTGCTCAGTTTGTGCCTCTGAAGAGTACTATTATTTACACTATCGCACTAATATTTTATCTATCAGGCTTTACAGATATGTCATGTCTGTGGTCGGTTGGTAGCTAAGCTAATTTTAGCGAAGCTAATTTTTCACCTCTTCCTCTTTTCCCAAATTTTACAGCTTCACTGTCGCCCAAGTGTGAGAAATGGCCATCGGAATGTTCCTCTTGGTTTTTTTTCATGTGTCTGCACACAATAGTGAGCTCTCTTCAGAGATCCCATCATGACCAAATATTTATGAGAGCTGTAACCGAAGTCTAACTTATGGAAACTAAATCTTTAAACACTTGGCAGACGTTTCGCACCCGGCTCTATTACGAGAGAAATTCTTTTGTTCTTACGAGGCTAATAATAGCGCTGTAAATGTAGATATATTTATAGCCGACTCACCACCCTCCCAGACAAGCCTTATATTCACTTGTATTTCCTGTGTTTATTATATGCTACCCACCGTTTTGTCATTAGCTTGCTCGCAGAATATTCACAAATGAATTTTTTTGTGTTCATCTAAGATGTCTGAGGTGGTTTTTGGTTACATACTATACATCTATGAGCTCTCTACGAGCAGGTGTGTTAGCTAGCATATGCTAGCAGTGGTTGTTTACACAGGTGCCGCTGTATAAACATACTAAACTGCTAGCGTAGCATCGCTAATGAAACTGTTGATTTTAATTATTAGCATGTTGATCCAGAGCACCTTCTGAGAAATGTATGACTCACTAAATTCTAGGAAATATGAATAAATGTGAGGGGAGGCTTTTCACAGCATCCATTTACTGCATTTCTATGCCATTAAACCTGAATATATAGCTCTTGTCTTGATGTTCCTGCATTATTTGAGCTCTTGATAGATGAAGCTTGTTTAAAACGCAACGTTATGTGGGAAAAACCTCCATCAGCATCACAAAGCTCCGTGGGTAACAAAGCCGTACAAGTGTTCGCTACTTAAGAGTCAGGAGTGGGTTCAGACTTTCTAGTGCTACCTTTTTTTTGTTTGTGGTTTTTTTGTTAACGCTCTAGCATACGATTTAGCGAGGGCACACGAGAGCTGTGCTAATTACAACTTCACCGCCACACTACGACTGCTAATGTCAAATTTGACAGCTACGCCCTTGTCTCTTTTAACAACTATTGTGTAAAACAATTAGCCGGGGCGAAAAAGTAGTCATAACATCAAGGGGAAGCTACTCCACCGCAGCAAAAGGTGAAGTGCAAACACAATTAAAGGTAAATGATATAGACAGCAATTAGCCATACACAAATGCTAATCCACGCTAAAGTGGGAATACAATGCTTGAGCTAAAGAGTACAAGAACGGATAATAAAGCTCTATAGCTAAGAGCACAGGGAAGAGCGTAACATTCAGCTTTATAACAAAGGCATGAAAACAGAATTATAATTCATTTTTGACCAGCAAAATATGTTTTGAAAAAAAAAACATTTGCATACAAATTTGTCATAAAGAAACATATAAAGAAAAAATATGAAGTAACGTTAAAAAACGGTGGATAAAGAAGGAAGAAAACAAATTTGTCTGTGTGAAAACAGCAAAAATGACCTATTGTTCTATAACAAAAAATGTATGATTGGCTACTTATATATTTTTTTTAGCCATCAACAATTGCTGTAAAATCCCAAGAGGTGCTAATGGAGTCACAGACGTCAGTGGCACTTTACTTTGGCTGAATATCCAGATATCAAAATATTTAAAGCGGATGTTCACTCCAATAATCCGAAAGTGAGTATTTCCAGAATAAATAATTATGGCAATAGCGTCAGAATCCACTATATATTTCAAATATACTGTAGGCCAATCCTCAGTATAAATTAATTTTAGTACATTTCATGAGCTATTGAAAATGATGAGAGGAAAACAATAAGGTGCCTGTAGCTCTCAGAGCACAAAATGAATGATTTGAATTGTGTGCTGTCAGATTTCTCAGTGGCATATTAAAACATGTCACAGGCAGGTAAAATACAGCATGCTCACGAGCAAAATCTTTCACGAAGGCAGGCATGCACGAGTTCCTAAAACCCTCACAGTCTTCTCAGTCCCATCAATATTTCTGTCAGACAGATGTGTATTGTGGAAAAAAAAAGGTTAAAACAAGCGAAAATAAAAAAATAAACGACATCTGACTGGCCTCTTCGGCTGGTATAATAAACTGTCAATTATATATCACTGTGTGTCAATACATCATTTGAAATACTCACACAAATACATAATGTATTTTTCAGACCATCCCAAAAAGTTCTCACAAATAGCCCTGAGACTCTGTCATTATTTATGTAAAACTATGAACTAATTAGCTTTCCAGTCAAATGGCAACATTTGTCTCATTCATATTGATAGTTCAACTAGTGTACTGTAGTGTTGAGTATGCTGGAAAACATTAATGCTTTATAGGTAAAATACATGAAAACATCACATTATTCTGTTATTCTAAGTGTACTTGACGTGTAAAAGCCCGTTCATGCCAATTAAAACTATAGTTTTAATAACTGTTCTAATACTATGAGAATAGCGAAGTCCACACTACAACTATTTGATGTTGATGAATGATAAAAACGTTGACAGCCAATCAAGAGCCATCCATTGTTAAAAGAACTAAAAATTTACTCACTCTCAGGCCATCCAAGATGTTAGATATATTTGTTTCTTCATCAGGACAGATTTGGAGAAATCACTTGCTCATCATTGTATTCTCTGTTTCTTACAAACATGCAGCTTTTTGCTTCACAAGACGTCAACTGATGGGCTGGATTTGTGTGGACTACTTCTGGATTACTTCTGATGTTTTTATCAGCTGTTTGGACTCTCATTCTGACGGCACCCATTCACTGCAGAGGATCCATTGATGAGCAAGTGATGTAATGCTGAATTTCTCCAAATCTGTTCTGATGAAGAAACAAACTCATCTACATCTTGGATGGCCTGAGAGCGAGTACATTTTCAGCAACTTCAGTTGTTCTTCTATTTGTGGAACACCTTCATTCTGGTATTTTCAGAGAATTATACTGAATTGTAGGCCAACAGACATCCAAGCTGATTCCCAATGCAATGTAAAATGCTTTTAGACCACTTGACATTTTCGACCACCCAACACCAAACCAATGAAAGTGTCACATACCTTCAGTTCCCTGAAGAAGATGCTGCTCCTGGCCCATTCCACAATGGAGAACAGTGTCTGGTCGGCCATCTTGCACATGAGGCCAAAAGTGTTGAGCTTCTCGTGCTTGCCTCGGCTGGCCTGCTCCTGCTGGAGGTAAGCTAGGATCTTCGCTTGCACCTGGGGCTCGTCCGGCTCGCACTTGAGCAGCTCCACCACCAAGTGAGGGAAGGTGGGCGGCGATCCACCCGCGTAGGTTTCTACGTACGGGTAGCCCATGAGGGACTCCGGCGAGCTTGTGTAGGGGTCGGGATACTCTGACTTGATGGTGCGGCTCTGAAAGTGGCCGTATGCCTGGTAACCCTGGAGTCCTCCGGCGTGCGGCGGCATGGCCATGCTGACCGGCGAGGTGACGAAGGGACTGCGGTCAAAGTCTACAGGTGGCAGGCCTGCGCTGGAGGAGCTGTGGTGATGGTGATGGTGGTGGTGATGATGGTGGTGGCTCAGTGGAAGCCCCTTGGAGGCCGAATGGATGTTCTGAATGGCAGAGGTAATGGTGAGGTCTGCTGGGATGGTTTGCATGGCTTGCGTCATGGCCTCCAGCTTGAGTCCGTTGGCCCTGATCAAGGCTTTTTTCTGTTGCTTGAGCGCCCGGTCTCTTTTGTACATGGGGCCAAACTTGTTGCGACCTCCTCTCATTCGATCAGCCCTCACAGCTTATAAAGTCACAAAACACAAAATGAGTCAGGTATCAGTTCATTAGGAAATCACAGAACTGTCTTTTTTAGAAAGAAAGCTAAAATAGTGAAGTGTGTCATTTCTGCGCCACTAGTGTCACGAAACGGAATTGCAGAAGTAATGACTGTTTTCCTGCAGGTTGTGCGTCATTCAAAATTGTATTGAGAATGCCATTTGAGTTTGAATTTAGGTAGTAAACAGGATGCAGAATTGGAATTCAAATTTAAATTTAAAGAAGTAGAATTCAAATGAATTTTTAAATAACTATTTAAATAACTATTAACTGTCATTTGTATCTAGAAATTCAATTGTATCAAGAGAAACTTAATGTTGGCTTAACATTTGGCATTTTGGTGAGAGAGAGAGAGAGAGAGAGAGAGAGAGAGAGAGATAGATAGATAGATAGATAGATAGATAGCAGTGGCGTTCCGTCCATATAAGCTGCGAATGCTCCGCATACCCAGGCCATTTGAGAGAATAAGTTCATGGGATAATTCATATAAACATGATTATAAGTTGATCCCTTGTCATTTGAAATGTAACTTAAAGCAAGAGTTAGGAATACTTATGAAAAATGATTTATTTGCCAAACGGCAGTAATTTTCTTTAAATCTACCAGTTGCGGTTGCTTCCAGGTAAGCGGATTCTCCGCAGCTTTCTCGTCTCCGCTCTATTGCTATGACTCGTCAGGATTGTAGCACGTTCTCAGTGTTTTGCTGGTCTGCGGCTGATTTCATGCGCGAGGTAAGCTGTCCGTGAAGCGCTCGCCGAAGGGGAAAAATGTGCTGTTCCTGTTAGATCTCGATTGCCGAGAATCACATCGTGTTTGATGCAAAACCAACTCGACTAAATCAAAAGAAAAAAACACTAACTGTATATTTTTATTTTCTCAAGCAAAGCAAATTTTAAAAGTCCACTGAAAACATATCTTCTTACATTTTTGGTCATAGACAACGTATGTTGAAGATATACGTTATTGTCAACGTTATTGCCTAAGCGGTAAATTAAAAAAAATGTTTATAAAAACGTGGGCTATATAAAATTTTAATAATAACAAACATCATATTGTTCCCTTTGT